CGCTCTCAGGGACCACCCCCTGCGCACCCGCTATGGTGTCGAGGAAGTGTCACGCCTGCTGTGCCTGGACGACCGTCGTGCATAGCGGCCGAGCTCAGGGACAACCCCCTGCGCACCCCCTGTGGAGTCGAGAAAGTGCCACGCCTGCTGTGCCTCGACGACCGTCTGTGCTGTGCTGTGCTAGTCTGTGCTGTGCTGTGCTGTGCTGTGCTCTGCTCTGCTCTGCTCTGCTCTGCTGAGCTGTGCGGTGCTGTGCTGAGCTGAGCTGTGCTAAGCTGTGCCGTGTGTGTGTGTGCGAGTGTGTGCATGCGTGCGGCTGTATGTAGACGCGTGTCTCATGTACTTGCCGTGCATGTGTTGAGCGCGGGTGAGGAGAGGAAGAAGAGGGAGGAGGGGAGGCGAGGAGACGCGGGTGCGCCGCGGCAGGGAAGAAAACCAGAACCCCACGAAAAATGTGGGGGGTAATAAGTTTAATACTAATAATGATAATGATAATGATAATGATAATGATAATGATAATGATAATGATAATGATAATGATAATGATAATAATAAAAATAATAATAATGCTAATGATAATAATATAAGTAAGACGACTACGATTATGAGTAGCAGTCATCTCATTCGTGTCATTAATACTATATGTATTGTTGGTATTTCTACAAATCACGCAATACTAGAATTACTACGACTAGTAGTAATAGTGGTATTATTCGTAGCAATACGGTCATCAATAAGAATATTCGTATTGCTAGGATTACTAGAACTATTACTGGAAGTAGTAGTACAAGTACTTCTGATAGCATCATCAGTAGTGTTACTCATATTGTTATGAAATGTATTACTATTCGTACTAAGTTAGGTATCAGTGTTATTAGGAGTAGTGGTATAAGTAGTAATAGTTGTTCTCTCCCTGCAAACAAATCCATATCTCAAGAATCCGCTGCCCCTCGAGGAGGCTTTTCTGACCCCCACGCACGGTACACAGAACTAAGCAGCGAGCAAGAACTGGCAACGGCACAGGACGCGCAGAGTTGTCCTGCGAACGTGCCCGAAATTCTGTGAGAGAGGCCGCGCGGGGAGAGGGCAAGGAGGACGGAACTGAGGGGGAACAAACGGGGCGACGTGACCGGGCGACGTGACCGCAGCAAGAGTAGTAGAAGTAGTAATAGTAGAAGTAGTTGCAGCAGCATCAATACTCTTACTCGTATCACCAGTACCGTTACGAGTATGATGCGTAGTAGGAGTAGTAGTAGTAATAGTAGTAGATGTAGTAGTAGTCGTAGTAGTCGTAGTAGTCGTAGTAGTCGTAGTAGTCGTAGTAGTCGTCGTAGTAGTAGTAGTAGTAGTAGTAGTAGTAGTAGTAGTAGTAGTAGTAGTAGTAGTAGTAGTAGTAGTAGTAGTAGTAGTAGTAGTCGTAGTAGTAGTAGTAGCAGCAGCAGCAGCAGCAGTAGTAGTAGTAGTGCTATTAATAGTTTGAGGAGTATCGTAGGAATATAGCTTGAGGAGTATAGTAGTAATAGAAGTGTAAGTGATAGTAGAAAAAGTTTAGTTTTAGTAGTTGGAGTCGCATTGTCAGTGGTAGTAGAACAAACTGTGGTATTATGAATAATTTGAGTAGTAGTATTAGTATTACCGCAATCGCACTAGCATTATTATTGACAGCGTGGATATTAATACTTCTACCACCAGGTTGGCATTATTCGTATGTCTAATACTCTTATAACTATTGATAGCATTACTATTCCTCCTCCTCCTCCTCATCATCATCCTCTTCCTCCTCCTCATCATCATCATCCTCCGCCTCCCCCTCCACCCCCTCCTCCTCCTCCTCCTCCTCCTCCTCCTCATCATCATCATCATCATCATCAGCATCATCATCCCCCTCCTCCTCAGCCCTCAGCCCTCCGCCCTCCCCCTCAGCCCTCACCCTCCTCTTCCGTCCTACTCCTCATCCTCCTCCTCCCCCTCCTCCTCCTCTTCCTCCTCCTGCTCCTCCTTCTCCTCATCTTCCTCCTCCTCCTCATTCGCCTCTTCCTCCTCCCCCTCCTCTTCCTCATCCTGTTCCTCCCACTCCTCCTCCTCATCCTCCTCATTTTCCTCTTCCTCCGCCTCCTCCTCATCCTCATCCTTTTCCTCCTCCTCCTCCTCTTCTTTCTCCTTCTACTCCGCCCCCTCCTTCTCCTCCTTCTCCTCCTCCTCCTCATCCTCATTCTCCTTCTCCTGTATTAGTTGCACTATTCATGATATTACTAAAACAACAAATAAGACTACCGCACGGATTAGTATGATCAGTATTGTTAGTAGTAGCATGTGCAGTATTACTGCAGTAGTATCAGTAGCCCTACGAGTATTAAGATAGGAATACTACTACCACTAGTAGTAGTAGAAGTGTTAATAGTATTACGTGGAGTACTATGAATCGTCTTAATGGCATGGTTACTAATATGATTAGTATTATCCGTATTATTAGTGGGAGTAGTAGTAGTAGTTGTAATAGGAATGGCAGTAGTAATACCCCCGGTAGCATGATAAGTGTTGGTGCCAATGCTCATAACAGTTGTAGTGCTGTTCGCATTACTGTCAGTAGTATTGCGATTAAGAGTCGTAGTACTAGGAGTAGAAGTAGTAGTAGTAGTAGTAGTAGTAGTAGTAGTAGTAATAGTAGTAGTAGTAGTAGTAGTAGTAGTAGTAGAAGTAGTAGAAGTAGTAGTAGTAGTAGTAGTAGTCGTAGCAGTAGCAGCAGCAGCAGCAGCAGCAGCAGTAGTAGTAGTAGTAGTAGTAGTAGTAGTAGTAGTTTGAGTAGTAGTAGTAGTAGTAATAGTAGCAGTAGCAGTAGCAGTAGTAGTAGTGGGAGCAGTAGTAGTACCAATACAAATAGAATTAGCACCAGTACCGTTACGAGGATGATTCGTAGTAGTAGTAGTAGTCGTCGTCGTCGTCGTCGTCGTCGTCGTCGTCGTCGTCGTCGTCGTCGTCGTCGTGTTCTTAGTGCTGAAATTAGCTGGAATCATATTATTAGAAGTGATCGGAAAAGCGTTGGCAATACCAGTAAAATGAACATAAAACCCGCAGTCGAATTAGCATCCGCATTGTTAGTATGATTAGAAGTACAAGCACTAAGGTTGCCATTACTCGTATTACTAGTACTGTTATCATTAGTTGTATCGTTACTTATCCTCGTCATCCTCTTCTTCCACCTCCTCCTCGTGTTCCTCTTCATCCTTCTCTTCCTCCTCCTCCTCCTTCTCCTGCTCCTCCTCCTCATCATCCTCCGCCTCCTCCTCCACCTCATCATCTTCATCCTCCTCCTCCTCATCATCCTTGTCCTCCTCCTCCTCCTCCTCCTCCTCCTCCTCCTCCCCCTCTGCCCTCCGCCCTCCGCCCTCCCCCTTCCGCCCTCACCCTCCTCCTCCTCCTCCTCCTCCTCCTCCTCCTACTCCTCCTCTCTCCTCCTCCGCTCCGCCTCGCTCTCCCTCCTTCTCATCATCCTCCTCATCTTCCGCCTCCTCATCATCCGCCTCTTCCTCCTCCTCCTCCTCCTCCTCCTCTCCTCCTCCTCCTCCTCCTTCTCACCATCATCCTCTTCCACATTATGTTACTACTCCTCCTCCTCTCCTCCTCCTCCTCTCCTCCTCCTCCTCCTCCCTCCTCCTCCTCCTCCTCCTCCTCCTCATTCCTTTCTTCCGCCTCCTCCGCCTCCTGATCCTCCACCTCATCCTCATCCTCTTCCTCCTTGTCCGTATCCCTCCTCCTCCTCTCCTCCACCTCCTCGCCTCACCTCCGCCTCCGCCTCCTCCTCCTCCTCCTCCTCCGCATCCTCCTCCTTCTCCTACTCCTCCTCCTCCTCCTCATTATCCTCCTCCTCTCCTCCTTCCTCCTCCTCCTCCTCCGCCTCCTCCTCTCCATCATCATCATCATCAACAACAACATCATCATCATCATCACCATCATCTCATCATCATCATCATCAGCAGCATCATCATCATCATCATCATCATCATCATCATCATCTCATCATCATCATCATCTCATCATCATCATCATCATCATCATCATCATCATCATCATCATCATCATCATCATCATCATCATCACATCAGCATCAGCATCATCATCATCATCATCATCATCATCATCATCATCATCACCATCACCATCACATCATCATCATCATCATCATCATCATCATCATCATCATCATCATCATCGTCATCATCATCGCTCATCAATCATCATCATCATCAGCATCATCAGCATCATCAGCAGCAGCATCATCAGCAGCATCAGCATCAGCATCATCATCATCATCATCAGCATCATCAGCATCATCAGCATCATCATCACCATCATCATCAGCAGCAGCAGCAACAGCATCAGCATCATCATCATCATCAGCATCATCATCATCATCATCATCATCATCATCATCATCATCATCACCATCATCATCGTCATCATCATCATCCACCTCCTACTCGTCCCCCTCCTCCACCTCCTCCTCCTCCTCATCATTCCTCCTCCTCCTCCACCTCCGCCTCATCCTCCTTTCCTCCGCCTCCTTGTCTTCCTCCTCATCCTCCGCCTCCTCCTCATCCGCCTCCTCCTCCTCCGCCTCCTACTTCTCCTCCGCCCCCTCCTCCTCATCCTCCTCCGCCTCCTCATTGTTCTCCTCCTCCTCCTCCGTAGCCATTTTGGCTCAAGCACAGGGAAGCGGCGCGCCGTAGCAACCTTTTGGGCTCTCGGATGTGCTAGCCGCCTCGCCTGCTCTCCGCCTCCTCGGGGCGCTTGAGGGACACCCCTACTCTGGCTCTGGTATTCTACTGGTGTGGATTCTCGGATTCAGGTTGGGTTGACTAAGGAGAGTTAAACACGTTTCCGACAGCATCGGCGTCGTTTACGCTGACATCCTCGGACGTGACAAGAACGGGACAATTTCTTCAAGTACGGCAACGGTCGCACCCAGTATGGCGGCGCATTCAATCCTGCGTCACTGGGAG